CCCTCCTCATCATCACTCGCTTCCCGCCTCCGCATCGCCAGTGACCGCTTCGCTTCTTCCGGATCACTCTCATAATCAACATCCTCTTCAGTCGCAGTAGCCATCTATCAACTCCAAAAAGGGAAAAAAAATCTGAAGTCAGCCCTCCGATCGCAACCACGCAATTAAAAAGGTTCCAAAAGGTAAAATCCCCCAAAATGCAAAACTTGGTCCGCAATCAAACAACAAATCCAAAATCCTCAGAGCCCTAAAACACTAAAAAAGACACCAAATATGAATTCGATAAACCTCGGGAAGTCGAAWTGAAAACTGGAAATTCCTAAAATGACTGATTGGGCACTACAATTGTGGTTGAAATCTAGGGCACACCTTCGGCCGGAACCCTAGAATTTAAGACATGGAAAGATTATGGAATTTTGGGAGAAGACCGAGGCTGGAAAAGAATCCTTAATAGAGGAGAATTAGGAGAAATTGTAGGGAATTATCTAATTTTAAAAGGGTATTTTGGTAAAAGTGACGGATTGGGAAAGAGACGTGAATCGTGATATGGCAGGTGAGAGACTCGGCTTCAGCTAAGTGAAAACGTGAATCTATTGTACCAGCAGCTGACCAATTGCAGATTGCCACGTAAGCGTCTTAACTCAAGTGGGGTCCACATGCAAAATCAAATAAATTTTTTCAATCCTATATATTTTATTGACACTGTAACTACCAACTTCCTTCCTTCTTTAAAATCAAGACTAAAACGATTCGCTTTGAATCTAAATTTGATTCAGTTTAACGACCTGAATTTTATTTTAAAAGAAAATCTATGAAAATATAAATTCGTTGGTAGATGCTATGTTATACAGTACTTATGGAATTTAATTCAATAATTTGAGGAGTTCGAGTTTGTTTTTCAAAATTTAGATGAATCAAACTCCTAATAAAATATAAACTTAATTTTTTAATATCAAATTACATAAATCTTAACCAAATATATTTTTAAATTTTGGTTAGATTGAGAATTAATGGATAACAACATATTTTTTTTAAACTTGTCATGTCTCAGAAGCTCAAAGTTTATTTGATAAATTTGATTTAATTTGGTCCGTCCACATATAAGGTTATATATACCATATAGTTTCCTCATTTAGAATTTGGGCCATATATTTAGATTGATATAACACATTGGGCTAACCTATCAACAAAATTTTGTGGATGGTATATTTAAAAATATATGTCTATATATACTCGACAGTATACCGTTATCATTGATTTAAAATATTTATAAATATGTCAAAAATTCTCAAATATTCCACTATTCCATTAATATTGTCCCCAATTGGCCTTGGTTTGAATTTTGCCCGATCTTTTAATTTACGTACTTAATTTTTTTGGTTACCAATAGTATAATCTAAAGCAAATGGGGTCTAGTATGGTTTGTTAGGAGTTTAAATATTAGGAATCTCTTTATATTTCTTTAACAATTTCTTCCATTTTTGTCATTCGATGGATTAAACCTTTTAAGTGAGGATGTGATGTTGGATATGGAGCATAACAATATAAAACTCRTCGAAATAGGTTTATTCTTTAACCATTTCTGAATTCTTGATGTTGGTCAATCTTTTATTGGCTAGAAATTTTCTCTGATATCAATTTTTTGGTAGAGCGAAAAGTCTTAGGGCAAGATCAAAAGTGTACAAAAGGAGAGCGTTGTGGGAGGTAGGAATCCGTTGGAATATGCTATTCGTGTGGACTTGTTAACCCAAATATATATATATGTGTATATGTATATATAGGTTTAGCTCAAGTTAAATAGGTTTTAACTACAATAATTGTTAAATAAAATTAATCATGGTAACTTAACTAATAACCTAACTAAAAAATAAAATAAAATACTTAAACTAAACTATACCAAAAAGAAAAAAACATTTGAACTCCTAAATGACTCATTTGGTGATGTTGTGTAATAAAGAAAAATAAAATTCTTTATTCTTTATTTTTTTTATTTAAAAAGAGAAGGCAAGAATTTATTGTTTTTTTTCTCTAGAATTCTAAATTCAAAATAAATTTTATATGAAAATTAATTTTTAAAATTAAATATTTAAATATCATTATGTTAATTACTATTGTTTAACAACCGTGCAATATTTTTATTTATATTTCTTTTATAAATTAGCTACGAGAACAAGAAACAATAAATTTCAATATCGGTGTATCCAAAATTTCTATACAATTTTGTGAATGTTACTAAAAAAGAAAAAACGAAAAATATAGACAATTATCACGCACATGCATGCTTAGATTTCTTAATATTTTTTTTCTTTTGAGTATAGAATGTGAGGATGGTAGATCGAACTCACAACTTCGTCGCAATCACTATAGATATATGCCAATTATCGGTACTCGCTCTGACACACTTTTGTACTAAATTATAAACAAGAACTAAAAAATTACCAAATAGTCTTGAAAATCCATACCATATGCAAATGGCTCAAGTGTTGAAGGTTGATAGTGACTTTGGGGTTGGGGCATCATTTATCGGGTCTGGCCGGGTTGACCCGAATGACGTCAGTCCTCCACTTATTTAAACCTCCCTAGTAAATGAAAGGAAGGAGGAAAAGAGAGAAAAAAAAGGCATATCTCTAGCTGGTGTTGTTGGTTATCGAAGAAATGGAGAACCGGAGAGGGAAGTGGGGTTTAAGTACTGTAATGGTGTGGCTGGTGGTGGTGAGCTCCGTTATGACGACGGCGGAATCCACGTCCTTTCAAGAATGCTACGCCACCTGCTTCGTCATCTGCGCCATCACCCCCGGCGCCTCCTTCTCCGAATGCCCTCTCAAATGCCTGCAGGCCTGCATCATCCCCTCTTTCCCCATCGACGACGCCGCCGCCACCGCCACCGCTGCCGACCGCCGAACGCACAACCATTTCTTCTGCAAGCTCGGCTGCGCAGCTACCTTATGTACCAACTTCACCACCAACCATAACCCAGGTTCCAACATCCACTATCCATATCCATAATCTTTAGAAACTTTCAATTTAGTTTTTACTGTTTTCGTTTGTGAATGTTAAAATTTGTTGGAATGAATTTACCTGCATGATGATTGCAAGTGAATAAAAATTTAGAAGAAGAATTAGGTTTAATTACAGGGAAAGAAGATGAAATTCTAAAGAAACTAGGAACTTCGCCTCTAAATTTCTCAACTTGTTTATTATCATCAGTTAATTTTAATATAAAATTTTAAACTTTTCTATATAATAAATTTTGCCTTTAAATGAAACCCGACTTAATGATAATCGATACCTATCTTTGAATTAATTACAGTTGAACTAAATTGATACCTGTCTCTGATGAAGAAGTACAATAAATGAGGAGATTCGAACTCATGACATCTTCGTCAAAACATGTATTAATTATCGTTGAACTAAGTTCGTATCGACAAATAAGAATTAAATTGAAAAAACACTAATTTCAAAACATACATTTAGCCATTAATTTTCCCTTTTCCATCCCTAGTTTCAGAATTGAATTGACCTTTTGTTTTGTTTTGTTTATGGATGTTATATATGATTTTAATTAATGCAGCTGAAAAGAAAGTGGGAAGATGTGTGGATTCGTGCTCTAGGACATGCTCCATGGATTGATCCACGCCTGAATTGAAGCCAATTCGACAAAACTGGATTTTGCTTTTTCAGTACATAATAATATATATTGTGTGTTTTAGGAAATGAAACCCACATTATTGATAGAATTAATCCATGTTTATTACTTATTAGAATTTCATTCAAGTTTGTGAAACTTGTTAATATAATTATATTATCAAGCGTTTTAATGGATTTGTATTCTATATTTTATGATTGGATGTTCCGTACCCAATATACAAACGATTGGGGAATACATATATTAATGTTGAGTTTTGCATGCCTTTTCATTTAAATATTCTTTTAGAACTATTTTTTTCTAATGCATTAGTAATTTTGAATTATTAACGTTTGATTTGAAATAATCATAATATTAAAACTACCTCTAAAACTAAATGTTATTTTCATTAAGTAATTATGAGACAATTACTCCATAAAAAAATCATTATTATTTTGAGATGAAACTGGTTTTAGTAATGACAAAAGTGATTTTAACCGTTTCAATATGAATTTCATGTTCTTTCTCAAGTACTAGTATACAAAAGTTATTGATCATTCTTTCACCAAAGAATTACATTATTGTTCAACTAATTGAAGTCACATTATATTTATTTTTCTTCTTTCCATTCTTGATTATGGTCTCTATATCCCCTAATAATTAAAGGGGCTAAAATCAAATTTTTTAATACAACAAACGAAAATGAAGATTCAAACTTATGACTTCTTAAACAGAGATTTGTATCAATTATCACTATCCATCGCCCTTCTCACAGAGCCATACGTGGACGTTACCACTCATACGATCAAGATTGGTGTCAATCACCGCTGAATTATCAAAATCAAATTAAATTATGAGGTACGTTGAAGAATAATTTGGTGTTTTATAAAGAGGTTCACGGGTGGGCATTATTATTGGGAAATGGAAGGAAGTTTTTGTTTTGATATTTGGCTGTGTATGGCCCGTGAACTTTCTTTTTGACAAAACGACACAGCATAAGGAGATCAGAATTCAGATCTCACCATTTCAAAACCCTACCTGTGTGCGTCGATGTGAGAGCTAATTATATATTATGGTTCTGTTTTAATAATAAATGTTTTTTATTTTCGAATTTTATTAAAAAATTTAGGGTCTATTTCTTTGGCTTTATTTTCGGATTCACTCACTTGAATAGATTTTAGTGAATATGTTTGACAATTTTATTTTTATATTTTGATTGTTTTTAGATTTTGAATTTGAATCTTTAAAATATAAAATTAATTTAAGAGAATATAAAATTTTTGATAAACATATTATTTTATGTTATAAATTCATTTTTATCTTGTTAAAATTAAAATATTTAAAATATAATATATTATAGATTATATAATATTATTGTACAATAATAATTATACAAAATATTAATAAATTAATTGATATTATTTTAGATTAAATTAAATATTTAGTTGATAACTACAATTAGTTTACAAATATATTTCTAAATTCACCATGAATAAATTTAATTTTCAAATTCTGTTACTAAACACAAATATGAAAACACTTAAAACAAATAATACTTCAATTTTCATTTTTCTTATTATCCAAGGAGTCAGCGGCCCTTTGGCGTTTGTGTGTCCCTGGGGAGTTATGTATGATGTTTTTTTTTCTTTTTTTTTATATTTTAGAAACATTTTAAAAAGTGTATAGAAAATTTTGAAACAAACAAAACAAGTTTCTTATTTCTTGTTCCTGTTTTTAATATGTTTTAAAACATATATAAGCTTTATTTATTCTTGAATCTACGAGTGTTGGAGGCAATGCAATTCTATTTTCATTTATTAAAAAAGAGGGAAAAAAAAAAGGAACCGAAACATTCTAAAAGAGGTCAACAAAATCAAGTTTCTTGTTCCCGTTTCCAATTTTTTCTAAATACATAAATAAAATATTGTGTTATTATTTTTTACTTATATAAAATACATAATAAATATTAAAAAAACTGCAGCTTAGAATACCCTCTATGCAGATCAGTCCAAGTCTTTGCCTCGTTCCTCTGCCATAAATCAAGTGAAACCCTTGATCACATATTGCTACACCGTCCTTACACATCTTCACTTTGGCATCGGTTGTTTGGTTTTTTCAGCTTATCTCCTCCATTTTAAGGGCACGTGCAATAGTAGTTACACCCTCGGTGCAATAGTCGTAATACTCTTTGGTGCAATATCATGGGATCCATTTTATGGTTAGTTTGGTTGGAGAGGAACAATACAACTTTTTGTTGACGTCTCCAAATCTTGCAACCGCCTTTGAGATGACATTATTGTTCTAATTTCCTCTGGGTCTTCCAGATCTTAATTCCTTCTTTTGTAATTACAAAATCTCTTCCCTTTCACTTAATTGAGGTGTTTTTACTTAGCCTCTCCCAAATTTCTTTTCTATACGTGAAATGATTTTGGTACTTTTCGAAACAAGATAAGGCACCTCTAGACTCAAGATTTCGGACTCTAGAACATTTTCGGCTCTATATTGATCTCACCATACAACAGTGAAAAATATGAAAAGAAAAGAAAAGACATGATTAGAACTCAGTGGACACATAAGGTAGGATGTGGGATCTCCTAGCTGTCTTGGACCATGTACTGAGAGTAGGGACATAATTAGTAATATATATTTTCACTAAAACCAAACCAATAATTTAAATCAATTTTCTATAATTCAAATTACAACATTATTTGTGTAAAATGTTATATAATTAATTTATAAATGGTTAACAATTTAAAAGATAATCATATTTAAATGGTAGATTTAGAATTCCCCTCAATTTGATTTCTCTCAATTCCATGGTATACCCTAAAATTGTAACATGAAAATTGGAAAAAAAACAAAAAGACGTGACAAGAACTTAGTGGTACACAAAGGTGACAACTATGCAAACTCATTGATAAATGGGATTCCAAGTCATGGTACACTCGCCAAAAACAAAACACTTGTTCGTTGTATAACCTTCAAGTAAATTATAATGCTCCAGAACTAAGGATGAATCAAAATTCAACGTCTAACGACGCGGATATTACCCCAACTATATATACGCATTCAGATTTTTAAGAAAATTTATTAAATTAAATTTACTCAACCCATCAACTTAAACTTTTGAGTTGGATGGTAGTTTATTCATCTTTTGGTATTAGATCCCAAAATGTTCAAAGGAGCATCTGGTCAAAAAATGGGATACAACCAATAGATATGAGTTTTGAAAAATAAATGTGCTCCTGACAATTTCCCCTTCCACAAATATCCAGATAAACAAAGCCAATCACACAATACAATAAGAAACTAAGGGAAAAACAATAAATGAAACAAAGAATTTATATTGTTCACCCATATAGCTTATGGGATACGTCCAGCCAGCCTTCCGCTTAGATGTGGGTTTCATTATAATCAGAATTAGATACAAGCACTCTCAATATCAAACCCAAGATATTTACCTTTAGAGGTCCCAACAAAAGTCATCTAAAGTCCTCCAGCTTCTAAGTATTTAACATTATACTTAGATACAAGAATAAAAGAGAACTCACGAAGAATTAAGATACAAGAATTACCCCAAACAACGATCTCGATCGACCCTCTTTGTGTGTTGCCAACGTCCCGAGTCGTTGCCTCTGAACTGCCACTGCCACTAATCCCCTTTGATTTTCGACGGAAACTCAATCCTCACGTCTGAAGAACCATAACAAAATGATATATGTATTTATAGACCAGTGCTGCAGCGTTAGCGTCTCAATGCTACGGACGCTAGGCGCACTCGTTGAGACGTTGTCCCTAGCGTCTCAACGCTCTTACTTTTTGCAGCGTGATGTCCCGCTTTTGCAGCGTTGAGATGCTCTGATGTCGCATCTCAATGTTGTCCCCTCAGCCAACGTGCCCATGCAGCTCCAATTCATTTCTTCATCCAATTCTTCGATCTTCAATTGTGGTTTGGCTTCATCGATCCCAACAATGAGCCACCCCTCTCGCGTTGCCATTGGATTTTGAGATGAAATCTCATGAATATCGTTAGTCATAGCACAAGGAAGAAAATTGCTCCAAGACAACCCACACTAAACCTTCTTGAAAGCTCTTAACAAAGGACAAGATAAGGTGATCACAATTAATTAAGGTGGATAGGTTTATGAGTCAAGACTTGAATAATTTCCCTTCCACTTTATATAGTAATGCTTGCACTACTCACCAAGTATTTGCCTATTTAAGAAACTCTCTCCCCAAGGACTCAAAGCACACAAAGCCTTTGGAAAAAGAGTGGAAAGTGAAGGGAGTTGAAGTAGTAGTTTTTGTGGCAATTTTGAGCTTATTTGCAGGCAGGTCCACAGCCCGGTTCGGGGATTGCTTTGCCAAGTGCTACGGTCCATGCTGTTATACACCCTTCGATTCCATCTACTGCTCTACAAAGTGCGTTACACAATGCGCCGGGGCCGCCTCCTCCTATGCCTTCCCCACGGCCTTCCACAAGCCCACTACTGCTTATAACTTCTGCAAGCTTGGTTGTGCCACCTCTCTTTGCACCAACTTCAGCACCAAGAATGACCCCGGTTCGTATCTTTTTTGGTTAAATTACAAGTTTGATGTGTCTTTTCCGTTTGAAATTTTATTTTTATATAGTTTTGTATTTTTGAGAATTATATATGCATGTGCGTGTTTGCTCACCTTTCTTAGAAACACATTTGAACTCTCGATCAGATTTAAAAAATGAAAACAAGTGAAACTAATGTTAACCAGCCTCATTTTCAAAAATAGAAAACAAGAACAAAATGGTTATCAAACGAGGTCTTAACACTTACGTCACCAAATGCCAAAATTTACTTGAAGTTAGTCCGCCACGTAATCTTTGAATAATATATAAATCTAACGGAGGACACAAAAGTTTAAAGTTGGGGGATCTATAAGACACCAACCTTTTCGAAATTCCAAAGATCTAATTTAAAATTTTTCAAAGTATCGGGGTTAGATAGTCACGACCCTAAATGTTTAGGGGCTAAACTTGTAATTTATCTTCTATACTTTTTGTTATCATCTTTCAATCTCTTCTCTTTCTTTCTCTCTAGTTTTGATACGGTAGATGGTTTAATTGGCTTAT